CTCTCTCTCTCACACACACACACACACACACACACACACACACACACACATTCTCCTATCTATTGATGGGTAGCGCCACCTGCTGGAAACTGGGTCCAGCGTCCCATGAACATCGTGAATAAAGCATCAACCGGCACCCCCCACACACACAATCTTCGAGTTGTGTATAACGAACATGACAAAACATACATACAGCATAATCCCTACCTTACCTTTTCCCGAACCGCATAAAACAAACGAACTACGGGCTGCGCACTTGTGCCCTCACGGTAAGTCAGTAGCCTGTTCACAACCCTCAGGGCTGTAGTTATATACCCCCAAGGCATACGGATCATTACCTTCAGCCTAAATTGGTCGTTGGAAGGGTGTTAAAATTGGAAGCAAAGGCTTCTACGGGGCGGGCAGTCCTTCCAGGCCCAGCAGCAGTAGTTGCGGTACTGGTGGGGGGGAGGGAAAACAACTTGCGGCCCACTTTTCTCAAATAGAAGGGCACTTCGAATAAAAAACACATGTTTTCTATTCTAATACAAAGGATATATTTTCTATTCTAATTTCAAAAAGAGAAAACTATTGTTTTCGATTTCTCAGCCCGTAGGGTTGCGTATATACGCCTGCGTTATTTACATCTTCGCTCGTTATATCAGTCGTCCATACGGGCCCAATGGTCGTTGAAAGGATGGTTAACTTATGGGCATAGGGTTACCCCCCGGGACATTCGGGGGCCGACCCCCAAACCTTCGTTCGTTCGTTGAGGGGTTCGGACCCCGCGAAAACCCTATTTTTGGGTCTTTTTTATATTTTTTTTAGATAGCCCACATCCTAGTGGACCCACTCCTAAAATTCCGCTTGGATCTGTTCAGGAAAAAAAAAATAATATTTGTAGAAGATTAGGGGTGAAAAAAAAATGGAAATCCCCTTTGATTTTTTTTTTTTTTTTTTCGAAGTTATTCTCATATCTTTCTACTCTTAAAAGTTACAAAGGTCCCAGCGATGCTGCCGCGGGTCCACGAGAAACCGCGGCATGGGCGGAACCGGAGGTGAGCCCCGTGTCCATTTGCACCCACAACAAAGCGTAGGACGGGCGCAACTAGAGCGAAACATTGCGGTCGCGGGGCCCGTAGGAAAAACACTCATGATCAACAACCATCGGAAACGTCGTCGAATAGATCACTGAAGCTCGCAACGAAATTTGTGTGTCTCTCCTTAAAAATAACGTTTGTTCCTCAGTGAATTTTGTTTGAGTCTTTTCTTTATTGAGGAAGAATGATTATTATTTAGTAAACTTTTCATTTTGACTAAGTGTTATATTTCATTAAGGAAGCATTGTTATTGCTGGTGTCTCCCTTCATTGATGAATGTTGTGACGTTTGCTCTTTTTAATGTTGTGGCTAATGATATTTACCTTACCCCCAATATTGTTTCGCCGAAGATTACATTGATTTGTTTTTATTTCTTATTTGGGTTTCATAGTTTTCTTTTTATCTCATTTAATCACTCCGCTTTGGATTGGTCGAAAATCACACTTATTTTAGTTCATTATTTTTCTTGTTTTCTTTCGTTTTTTCTTTGAAATATGTAGTTTTTTTTCCGCATACTTAATCATCTCTGCTTCAGATTCGTCCAAAATCATACTCATTTTCGTTTAGTATTTTCTTTGGATACTTAGTTTTAATTACTATCACTCAATCATCTTCGTTTTGAAAAGCAAAAAATTTATTATTTTTTTTTATTAATTTCTTTGCATAGTTTTTTTTTTTTTTTTCGCTCCGTCTGAATCACTCGCCCCATTCTTACCTCATACCCCCCTTTCGTTGAATATTAGTACTTTTTTTTTTTTTTTTTTTTTTTAGTAACTTAGTTTTGTTTTGATCCTCTTTCACTATCACCCGAGACCTCTCTTTCACCGAAGATTAGTGCTATTTATTTTCCTATTTCTTTTTTGTAGCTTACTTTTTTTTAGATTCTCCTCCACTCTCGTCTCATAGGCCCCTTTCATTGAAAATTAGTGCTATTTGTTTTCCTTTTCTTCTTTGATCCTCTCTCGCTATCACCCTCTCCTATGACCGAAGATTAATAATTTTTTTTTTTTTTTTAACTTAATTGTTTTTAAGTCCTCCTTCACTCTCAACCCAAACCCCCTTTTCGTTGAAATTTAGTGTTATTTATTTTCCTTTTTTTTTTAATAACTTTGTTTTTTGTTGTCCTCCTCCAGTCTCACCACTTACCCCCCTTTCGGTGAAGATTAGTGTTATTTGTTTTCATTTGAATTTTTGGCCCTTTCCCACTCTCACCCCCGTCTTTCGCCGAAGATTAGTACTATTTTTTTTTTTTTTTCCTTTGGTAATTTAATTTTTCATAGGTACTTTTCCACTCTCACACATACCCCATTTTCACTGAATATTAGTGCTATTTGTTTTTTTGTTTTTTTTTTGTCCTTTCTCAATCTCATACATACCCCATTTTCGCCGAAGATTAGTGTTATTGCTTTTCCTTTTCTTATTTGGTTCCTTAGTTTTTTTTAGTCCTCACCCACTATTAACTTATACCCCCTTTTCGTCGAAGATTCGTTCTATTTGTTTTCTTTTTCTTCTTTGGTGAAAATTAGTTTTTGCTTACCCTACAGCCTCCTCACATCCCCCCCTTTCATTGAAGTTTACTACAATTTGTTTTCATTTTATTATTTGGTACTCCTCTACGTTTACCCGACCTCCCCTTTTCATCAAAATTTAGTGTTTTTCTAGGCTACTAGAGTGGCCCAGGGCTACTTGCCCGGTCGGGTTATATATATATATATATATATATATATATATATATATATATATATATATATATATATATGTACAGGGTAACCGGCGTTCGGGATGGGCCGAATGCCCGAACCCGAACGCCCGAACGTATGGGACCCCTTGGGGATGCGTTCGGCCATTCGGGCCGAACGCGGACCAAAAAAAAAAAAAAAAAAAAAAAAAGTCATCAAAAAAATCTG